GTCTTTAAAAAGGGGGAAAAAGCAGATCCAGGAAACTACAGACCAATCAGCTTGACATCAATACCTGGGAAAATCCTGGAAAAGGTAATCAAGCAGTGGGTTTGTGAGCATCTAGAAACAAAAAAGGTGATTACTAGAAGCCAGCATGGATTGTTAAGAGCAGGTCATGCCAAACAAATCTTATTGCCTTCTTTGATAAAATGACTAAATTAGTGGCCAAGGAAATGCTGTGGATATAGTATACTTAGATTTTAATAAGGCATTTGATAAAGTAGACCACAGACTACTTCTTGGCATGATAGAACAATGTGGGATAGATAGCACCAGATGGATTTGCAGTTGGCTGACCAACCACACTCAGCATGTGGACCTTAGTGGATCTACATCTACATGAAGGGAAGTATGCAGTGGGGTACCTCAAGGTTCTGTCTTGGGCCAAGTGCTCTTCCACATCTTCATCAATGACCTAGATGTCCTAGATTGAAGGAGTGCTCATCGAATTTGTGGATGACACAAAGATGGGGGGAAATGCTAACACTTTGGAAGACAGATTCAAGATTCAGAAGGATCTTGACAGACTTGAGCACTGGGCCTTATCCAACAAGATGCAGTTCAGTGGAGAGAAAAGTCAGGTCCTGCACTTAGGCAGGAAACCCCAGATGAACAGGTACAGCATAGGCAAGACCTGGCTCAACAGTAGTGCCTATGAGAGGGATTTAGGCGTCCTGGTGGACCACTGCTTAAGCACGAGCTAGCTGTGTGCTGCAGCTGCCAGAAATGCCAACATGGTCCTGGACTGCATCAACAGAGGGATAGTACCAAGATCAAGGGAAGTGATAGTACTACTCTACACCACACTGGTGAGGCCACATTTGGAATACTGTGTCCAGTTCTGGTCACCACAATACAAAAAGATGTTGAGGCCCTAGAAAGAGTGCAGAGAAGAGCAACGAAGATGATAAGGGGTCTGGAGGCTAAATCCTATGAAGAATGGCTAAAGGAACTAGGTATGTTTAGTTTAACCAAGAGAGGACTGAGGGGAGACGTGATCTCAGTCTTCCAATCCTTGAAGGGCTGCCCCAGGGAAGAGGGCATGGATTTATTTTCCCGAGCACCTGAGGGTAGGACAAGAAGCAATGGGTGGAAGCTTGTCAGAGGGAGATCCAACCTGGAAATAAGGAGGAATTTCCTGACAGTGAGA